TTTCATCCCAAATATAAGTTACTTAAGCATGCAAACCTACCCTTTTTTAGCCTTTAATCACGGCTTATCAATTTTCCATGACGTTTTTTAAGGCGTGGCCCATTTTTTTGCAAGAAAAGACGGAGCTTTTAAGATTTGTTTATTTTCGTGACTTTTTTAACCATCATAAAAATTTGGAAAAACACGTTTTTGTGACGTTTAAAAAACGTTACAAAAGGGTGGAGAACATTTTTGGCGGGAAACGACACCATTTTCTGATTTTTGGCTTTTTGTGACGGTTATAAAAAGTTGGAAAATTTGTTTTTTGTGATGTTTAAAAATCATCACAAAAGGGTGGATCGAGTTTTTTGGTGGGAAAACACAAAGACTTACGAATTTGTTGTCGTATGTGACATTTTTTTAACATCACGAAATGGTGAGCTTTGTTTTGGTGGAAAACTCTTTCTCTTGGTCAATTTATGACATTTTTTAAACTTCATTAAAAGTAAATATATAATTTTTAAATTTCATTCTATTTAAAAAATGTCGTAAAATGTTGAGTGCATTTTTAGAGTGAAACAACGAGTAGTTACTGATGCATAATTTTTTGTAATTTATGACGATTTTTTAATACCACGAAATTAAGTCATAAAATTTTGGAATTTCATGAAACTCAATAAACATCACGAAAGGTTTCACACGTGTGTTTTCCAATTTCGGGAATCAAGATTCAAGTTGAGCAATCCTTGTTTGAGGACATGGATCTTCGCCCATTTAGTAATTAATTTTAATTATTTTTAGGAATTAAAAAATAAAAAAGAATTATAAATATAAATAAATTAAACTATTTACTGATAATTATTATTTGCTTATGTAAATAATTATTTATAAAAAATATTTCATATTTTATTCATAACTTTGTAAAACAGTTAATAAAATATATAATAATTATTTTAAAGATGGAATTTAGGATGAGATCGTTACATGTTGGGAAATTCATTCCTTGTTCGTGAAGCGGGGATCCGATCTTGCACGAATTTTTGTCATCGTCTCTAATATAGAAACATTAAAATACCAGCCACGTGTCGACATATGATACGACGAACAGTGATGAATCAGCATTAGGATTTAGCTACACCTCGAACTTCCATGAGAGGCCAAGCCAAACTATCAAAGACAGTTGTGACTCATGTTCCATGCGAGTTGACCTAAGTTTCAAACCTAGGTCGCCTGAGTTATCAGCCGAGCCGAGCTTAAACCTCTACTTTTGCAAGAATGTAATTCCAACATCTTCAACGATAACATGTCGTAATTCTCAGGCTATCAGAGAGCAGTTGGAGACTTTTCAAAAGCTCTGCCTATAAATAGAGACCTCTCACCTCATTTTCAGATACATGAAACTATATTCTCTCTCGAGTATAGATCGACCAGATACTAACTTGATTGTTAGAGTGTTTATTCTCTTTTGCAGGTCCTCTACTTGCTAGTACGTTAGCTTGCCTGAAGTGTCAATCAAATTCGAGCCTAGCTTCGCAGACTTCGTCAAGTTCTTAATCAAACACTTTTTAAAGATAAATTTTAGAGAGAGTATATTTGGAGAGATGCAACAAAGAAAATCCAGAGAAAGAAAATTCAGGAAAAAAAAATTAGTGAGAGAAAAATTGAAAACAAAAATAGAAAAATGTTATAGAGAGTAAAGTTGATAGCAAAAACGTGTTAAAGACGGAAAGAAAAATTAGAAAGAGAGAAAATTATACCGTGAAAAATTTTTTGAAATATATTTGCTAGAGAAAATAGATAAATAAAAACAGAAAGAAAACTGAATGTGAAAATAATTAGAAAGTAAAAAATTTGGAGATTATTTATTAGAGGAAAAAATATTAGAAAAAGAAAGAAAAGTTATAAAAGGTGAAATTTGAGAGAGAAAAAAGTTTGGAAAAATATTAAATTTTCAGAGAGAGAAAAAATGAGAGTGATATGTTATAACCAAAAGAAAGAAATAAAAATATATAGAGACTAGAAATATTAATAAATATTCAAAAGATAGAAATGTTAGAGAGATATAAGTTTTTTAGAGAGAGAAATTTAGGTGAAGAAAGAAATTTTAGAGTGAAAAAGAAATTTCTTAGGGAGAAATATGTCAAAGAGCAGGACATTAGTGTAAAAAAATGAGAAAACTTTTTAAAAAATAGAAAACATAAAATTGAATTTTTTTCAAACAAGCTTGCCATTTCAAAAATCAAAAACCAACAAATAAAAAAAATGAAATGGTTATAAAAAGAGGAGTGGACAAATATTTTGGAGAGATGAAAAAGGTTAAATGAGAGGAAAAAAAGTGAGAGCGAGTAAAAAATGATGATTTGTTGTTACATAATTTTGAGTCTGATCAGACAACAAAGAAATCCTTTAGTGATAAAGCGACCCCCTCAAGACGACATTGATATTTTGGAAAAATGTGGGCTTGGACACCAGTTCAACTTCTTCAATTAGACAACCGCAGTTGCGTCCTTTTACTCATTGAAGATTCTATCTACAAAAGAAGGTTGTCATGTTGCTAGGTAAAGTGGTGGAATGCTAAACCCTAGATGACGAGAGTCTAGTGATCGTGTTGTTGGATATACCACTCTCTTAGTTAAGAACTATTTGGTGTTATCATAATGACTCATTATTAGAAAGAAGAATGTTTGGTAACTCACTGCTTAGTCGTTGACTCTTCAATCACTACGAACGTCTATATCAATGCTTTTAGTTCAAAATGATCGATATGTAGAATTAGAACGCTCGATTTCTCTCCTAGATGAAGTGCAAAGCCAAGAGAAACCATCAACCATAATAGAATAACTAAAATTTTAGAAAGGAAAAAGAACGTTCCTCTCAATTTTAGGGAAATTTGAATGAAATAAAGGGACATTTTTTAAAAATTTTAAAATGATATTCATTTTAAAAAGGAATTATCTCATAATTTGACCTTGACTTGAAAATCACCTTTCCTTTTTTTTTACTTCACTGAAAATGATGTATGAAAGTGATTTTAAGATTTTCCTAAATCATTTATGTATCATTGTCGTCATGCATCACTATTTATATATATGATTTTGACAATGACAAAAATATTTTGAGGTAAACACGCCCAAAATATTATAATGGAAATCTCTCTCAACTATTTGGATACTTCATTTACGTCTGTTACAAAAACAATACCGTAAAATCATCGAAAATGTTCATAATCAAGCACATCGTTTCAACTAGATGGACAGCTTGGAGAGAGTGTGTGCTTCATCGAGTACGTTTTTGATCGGTAATCTCTCTACAATTAAAATACCCAAAAATGGCAAAAAGATCAACGTTCAATAAGGTTAACCTGCTTTGACATATTTGTAATGGTAATGATCTCACTCATACCCCTTTGTTTTATTCACGCTTAATATTAAAACTAATGAAATTAATGTATTGTAGGGTAAGCTTGGAAATGTGAAGGCATAAAAGAGAGGAGAAAAAACAAAACAATTGTCCAAAATTCCTCACTTTAATATACTAACATTTCTCATCCATGTCTTTGAGAACTTTGGAGGACACTTGAATTAATTAGTTCACTAAAACATCAAATTAAGTTTAGACAGTTATGTGATCCGTGCATTTGTAGTCCAACGATTAGGATATATAATTACCTTACAACTTTTGATTGTTAATCTTATGCTCTGGATGTGGCCTCGTGGAGTAGGTTGGAAAATCGAACCACGTTTAAAACGTTTTTGGATCGTCTCTCTTAACTATATTGTCTTTTAACAATTGCATGGCTTAATAGTTTTAATTTCTAAAACCCAACAAATTGAAACTTTACAAATAGAATAATATTTTAGTAAGCTAATTAGATCATTAACTATACCATACACCACTTTATTTGCCTCTTTGTTGGTGCAAGATATGCACCATCGATGCAACACCACCTTACTTCTTCCACGAGCCATGCAATTTCAAAACCATATAGGGTCTGAATGAGAGTCTAATTCCAAATGAACAGGGTGATGATTTCCTCCACAAATCGCATTCAATCTCTTGCAGACGATCATCATTTCCAGATAAATGATATCTATTTTCTCTCTTATAGATTTGCAGTCTGGCCGCTATGATTAGCTCGCCATTCTCATTCTAACGGTCCAACCGAGTCATCCCATGCCTGGTTACTCCAAGTTGCATTAGTGTTTAATTTGTATGGATTAGAGTTTGGAGGTTCCAATTTCACCAGTTTTTTCTCCTCGTCCATGTAATTGTACTTTTCCTCTCAGTGTATATTCTCATTTTTGTTACATTAATTTACTTTTTTAAAAAATCATCAACAATCCGTTAACAATTATCACAACGTGTTTTTGTTAAATTATAGCAACTTTAACAACAATGCGTTTGTAGTCCAACGGTTAGGATAATTGCCTTCCAAGCAATAGACCCGGGTTCGACTCCCGGCAAACGCAAAATTTTGTTCCTCTTCCTTTTTTTTTTAAAAATTTATTTATATATACACATGTAAACAAAATCCTCGACCTTATTTTATATGAATTGATAGCGAAGATGCATGCTTATTGGATCAATCAATCTAGATTGGTCAGTTTAAAGTTTGAGTCAATTTAATTTTGAGTTTGGTTTTGAGACGAGATTACATGAAACCAAACCAATGCCCAAATATAAGAAAAATTGAATTTAAATCGAGTCAATTAGGAATATAACAAAACCAAACTACTCAATTTGGACGATAAATTCTAAATGCTTACCAATTCACACTTGTCTTTTGTTAACCACCATTAAAATTTTGACATTAAAAAAAAAGGGAGAAACGTAGAAAAAAGATTTTTTTCTATTTTCCAAAAAACTAAAAAATTCTCAAATTTTTATTACCTCAGCATAAATATAGGTATTGATATCTAAGTACTAAGTTAGTACTGTCAATTGGAAATGATTCTACTTCCACTCGGTTAGTCCATTCAACTCGTCTTTCGCTTGCTCCTACTCTCGACATTCAACCGGAGAAACTGAAATAATGTTCTAAACAACTTTGAAATTACACAAAAAGTATGATGTATACATAAACTTCATTATTTACAAGTATTTGTACAAATATAAACTTCTTTCCCCACAGTATGTTGGTGACTTCCATTTTTTTCTTTTCCTACGTTCTCTTCTCCCCAATTTGAATGTTTCAAATTCTCTCTTCAAATTCCAAAAAATATAGACAATGAACCTCAACGTTCCAATCAGTTCATTCATTTACCTTTCGACCGAGCACCATAGGCTTTACTGCAGCCAACACGACGGAGACTTTACACGCAAGAAATCCCAGCATTCCTATAACAACTTCTTTTGGTGCCAACATCACAGTTGAATCTCCCAAGTTGAACTTAGCTGTAAGAATAGCCAATCCAACTGCCACTGCCAAGGCTGATAGAGGGCCTCTATATCGTCGATCTTCACTCCCGGTTGTTTTGGAACTTGGCATCGGAGCGGGTAACTCGTCCACAGATCTTTGCAAAAGCAACAGATATAAGAAGCCGAGAATTCCACCGGCTAAGAATGCAAAACCCGCATTTTCACCAGCTGAGAAGGATGCAACAGATGTGCCAGCAAGAATCAACAAGGCATCATAAGTAAGCAAAGAGAACTTCAGATCTGCATACTCTTTCATGCTTTCCTCATTGGATATACTGTCAATTGTAGCTAAATTTTGAAGGCTGGAGCTTTCGTTCAAGAACGATAAGGGCTCAACTCCAGATAGTTTGGATACGAGACAAGGCCTAAGTTCCACCATTGATTTGTCACTGCCCTCCCCGAGCAATATATCCGCTGCTGGAAATTCGAACTTGAGACCCGCGTACGGGAATCCTTCATCATCTGCTTTTTCAATCAAAGGTTGAAACCGAGATATAATGTACAAGCTTAGGCTTCCTACTCTCCACTGGCCTGGCTAAGATGAGGGGAAAAAAAAGTTTTGTTAAACTGCTTGCCAGAATTGATTGTATAAAAGCAACATAAAAGTCAACAATCATTTTTACCTCTAAAAGAGACCACAAGCTTCTTGAAAATCAAATGCATATCTAAAAACTGAACTACCAAGCACTATTTCAAAGATATCTCATTTACTTATATTATTTAACCGTTTCCTGGCAGTAGGCACATGGAAGTGAAGAAAGTTCAACCTTTTCAGATATCATATCAAATGGCAGAAACTAACCCGATTCAACGCTGAGCCAGACCGCTTCTAATCTACCCAATTTAGGTCCCTTGAAGACAAATTCATCAAAAGAACCCCTCTGGAACCTGAGAATTTCAGGACCATCCAAAGTATCCTTTTCTTTAGAATGATCAGAATCTGTCATCATACTTGCAGGTACTCTCTGTAATACAGAATTTCCCCTTTCATCTATCAAGCACAGGAGAATTCCAGCATTCATGTCACTTAGATTTGATCCATAGACCTTGCTAGTACTTATATCAACCTTGAACAGGGACTGAGATTCATCTCCCTTCAAAGATGATAGGATTTTCAATATTGAAGTTTTCGTGCAGACCTCCGCGTCCGAGGCTTGTATAAGATGTGAAGGTTTTGCATAATCCTGAAAATCTGCAACCAGGTTACATGAACTTGCAAGAATTATTATAGAAAAGAAAAAGAAAAAAGTGACTTAACAAACTCCAATAGTAAACACACAGAAATGAATTATTCGAACAGAAAAGTAGTTGATGGGTCGGTCAACATTCCAAACCAATATACATCCAAAATACAGTTCATCCATGTTCACATATGATCAAGCTAAACTAGCACTAAAACACGTCATCAGATGATCATTCATTTCAAAGAGGATCCTGTTTCTTTGGAATTCTTGTGTCATTTCCATTGTTTGCTCCCACAGAAACCACGAAAACGATCAAATAAATTATCAAATTCTTTGAAGGGTGAAAAATACCTTGGAAACTAGAGCGCTTAGCCCGAACTCGAAATCGAGAAACCGGGTAGCGAGAAAAAATCGAGGTTGAATGAACAGAGTTCAGAGGTTTTCTTCCAGAAGGGAAGTTTTTGTGAGTAGCAAAAATTAGATGCCTCGGAGAAATCGAATCCATATCCACTACACCGGCACACGAAATAATCATAGGAGCGACACAATCCATCTTAAGAAACCCTAAAGATCGAAAAACAAGTGGCGTCCACCATCAGCAGTCTTAGGGCTTGAACTGAAAATCATTTCTGTCAAACTTTACAATTCCAACAACACCATGATATGACAATTAATCGGAAAATCCTGAGGGGAAACGGAAAAAGATACAGAACTCACCTCGATGAAATTACAATAGATAAACCGCCATCGACGGCGAGAAAACGGGGAGAGAGAGAGAGAGAGAGTTATCACGTATAAATACTATTTCGAAATTTTTTAGTTTCGTATTTACAAAACGTTCTCTCTTTATCTTTCTATTTTCAAAATGTTGATTTAATTTTTTTCTTTTTTCATTTTAGCTTACATTAGCTATTAGACAATTGAATGATATAAAATTTACCCTTTGTTGTGAAACAATTCTATTTAAGATGGTATTCATCACTCAATTATTTACTAATATATCTTTTGTATCTCATTCCAATATTAATTAATTTTTAAAATCCAAAATTGATTACTTGTATGTTACATTTTAAATCCCATTAATTTTTAAAATCCAAAATTGATTACTTGGATGTTACATTTTAAATCCCTTAAATTTTGCTTAATTAGACCTTCCAAAAGTAACCTCTGTTGTTCTGTTTCCGTCTATTCTTTCGTCTCCGGTTGCTGTTCCTTCATTTTCGGTCGTCGCCTCCGTTCTTCTTCATTGCCGGAATAGTTCGTCTAACTTCTCTTTCATCTTCGGTCGCCTGTCCATTGTTTCCGTCCGTTTATCCCGATATTTCTTTTTTGTCGTCGGCCGCCCGTCGGCCATTCGAGCCTTTCGTTTATCCCGACCATTGTCTAGTCGTCGACTGGAAGGTTTGTAACTTATTTGCTTTGTTTGTTAATTGTATAGGGATATAGTCGTATATACTTTATAGCCAGATATAGGTTATATCTCCATATAAGTGTATGTTATAATGGCTATAGTTTATATCACCAAGTGTATGTTGCTTGAGTTTGTAGCCGGATATAGTTTATATTTTCATACAAATAAAAAGGTAGCCGGATATAGTTTATATCTCCACATATATATATAGTCTATGTTATAATGGCTATATTATTGAAATTTGGCCAAAAATTGTAATGAAATGAAAAAATATTTTGTAATAAATTTCATTATTTAGTAGAATATATTAAAGAGTAAATTGGGGAATTATGAGAATGATTGATTTAGACCTCGCAATAATTTAATGTTTACAAAATCAAATTTGAAATATTAATGTTTTGCATTTAAATAAAATATTAATTATAATAAATATAACTTTCATAAATAAGGGCAAATTTGGTATTTGGAAAAAGTTTTAAATCTAGAAATCTAAAACCGTAAAATTTGTAAACATTGTACCTTTGTGAAAATCTCCAAAATAACTCATCCAAGACATTATCTCTATATATTTTCGAAGATGTTTATTTTGATTCTTGCACGTTTAAAAGTGATATTTAGTCTTAAAGTGAACATAATTTAGTGGTAATTGACGTATATTTTTAATTAAGAGGTTGTGAGTTCGAACTCCTACTCTCTTATGTTGTACTAAAAAATAGAAATATCCATACTATCAACATTTAACCCATATTTCCATTTATGTTTCTATGAAATTGAGATCTCGACATTGACATTTTTTTTTAAACATAACGAAAAGAAAAATTAAGAAGAATGAGGAAGTAACAACTCAGAAAGCCACGTAGGGCAAGACCGAATCCAAATAGAAGAAAACCCCTCCTCACGCTTTCTTTGCTATGCCATGCGCCACTTCGTTTGCTCTCCTCGGGATATGACTGAAGCCTTTCAATTGACAACGAATCTACCTCCCTCCAAATGTCTTCAATGATCACGTTTCTTTCGGTGAGATCTACACCATCTTTGTTGATGATATTAATAACTTCAAGACAATCCGATTCCACTACAATTTGAACTCCTGTATCCTCGATAAAGGTTCGTTTAAGAGCTTTGAGACCTTCTAAGATTGCTAGAGCTTCTAGGTCTTTAATTGTTCATTTCCTCTGTAGGTACTAACAACCAGTCGAGTCAAAATATTTCATTCCATTCTCGAACCACCCAATCGATTCCACCTGCATGCAATGAATCCACCCAAGTAGCATCGTAGTTAATCTTCCACCGGTGTTGCGTCGGGGTGGTCCAGCCGATGTTCACTGGAATTCCCCCTTCCTCGATGACCAGGTTGCTCTCGTGACTCTTCTCTAGCTCATTTATTTTGCAATCAATGAGATTCATCAGCTTCTTGGAGCAAGCTAGGCTGCTCATTTTTTGCACTGTGAAAAATCTTATTTATGTACATCCAAATACTCCAAAGAAGAATGAGTCCTTTCTATCTTTTGAATTCGTCCAAGCCTCTCCATGTCCAATCGAAAAAGTCCATTTCCCTTCGCTCTTCCATGTCAGAATGAAAAGAACGAGTATTAAAATATAATCTAGATAGATTGCCCAGGTCGCGAACAAATCTGCATATTTCCACAAGAGATGGGAAGCTATCTCTTTTTCTCTCGAAAAATAGGGCACCATTTTTTGGTTAGGATTCCTTTAATACCAAATCTGCCTTTGGTATGATATCTGGAATAATCTTCAAGTAACAGAGCTTGACCTTGGGAGGAAGCTCAACTTTCCAAAACCTCTTCCACCAACCGCTACAAGAATCAACATCGGAGGACGAGGCTGAATCTGGATCATTGATTTGGACGTTCACATTTAAAACATTGAAATGTAACCATAAATACGTATTAAATGGTTTTCATTTTATATAAATTTTGTCTTCAAATATTGTAAATAAGGAAAAATAAACGTTTTATGAAAGTACATAAATTAAAATAAACGAATGTGGAAGGTAAATGGACTAAAAAGAATGAAAGTCATCGCTTTGGTCACTTCATTTTCATTTTTATCTCATTTTTTAATCATAATTTTAGCATTACAATTCACTTACTAAATTTCTTAAAATATAACCATATATTTGAATTAAATGGTTTCCACTATATAAAATTTATACATTAAAACTTTGTAAGTTACGGACTAAATTGGTCCCTTATAAAGTATAGTTATCAAAACAAACATCAAAAGTAGAACAATTAAAATGAACCAAAATAAAAAATATATGAAAACTACCTCTTAGACTTTAGAGCTTTTAATTTTTCTCTCAAATTAATATAAAGTTGTGAGCCACATTGTAGCCTCTCAAATAATTTCTTCCTATCTAAATAGAGGCAATGCTTTTCGTTTAGAATTGAGAGGAGGCTTCAACTCTGTTTGAGCCCGAAATCGATGAGCTCAGATATAATTTAGATCGGTACGTTCATGACGAACTACCGCCAACGGTCCCACACCTTCCCTGAGCACTCTTGAGACCTGCAAAACAAAGTTAGCACTCCGACGAGCAAGTTAGTTTTAGTCCGAGCTAACTTGCCGAGTCTACTTAGGATTRCGTACCTTGCATTTAAGGYAAGRGTTTYTATTTATAGAAACTGGGCCCGACAGGGATTCTGACACACCSTAAAATCACGGCGTGTTRTCGGGTTCGGAAGAGACATTGTTACGGACTTTGCCTCAGGTCGGCTCGRCACTGTAGGTCCTACCCTTACTGCCGACCCGAGTGTCTAGAAGTCAATTTCTACATTTCGTTCACGTGTTCACCCAACTCACTTTTCTGATMGTGACACGTGGCAGGCCAGGATTYGCCTCCAACAWWSKCYMYMAMTKYSKC